CATTTTTACTTTCTGTGCCTTTGGGCAATGTCAGCTCTGGCTTTTTCACTGAGTAGAACCCGAAGTTACTGTAGTGGAGAGGGGAAGTAAGCAAGACGGTTCAACCAGCATGCAAATATGGGAAAAGAGGATAAGTTCAGTGTGGGTCTTTTGGTACTCTTCTTGGATAGCTTTAGAGTAGTTTATATGTACAAGTTTAGAAACAAATCATATATTTTTCTTAGAAATTCTTTAATGAGTTCCAGGTTGGACTAATATTCAACAGAAGTTGTATTTGCCACAACCTTCTATACAAACGCAAGCATGGTCAGATCCTGTAGGGTTTGCATATTACAGCATGCACTTTGGGTCTTTATATGTTTTTTTCCATCTTTTTATTCTATTATACTATTGTATTATCTCTCCTCAAGATCATTCTTTATACATATATGTTGAATATTAACATACTGAGCTCTCACCTTCACTGAACAGGTGGATTCCTATAAGTGACATGCTAAAACCCACGTTGTAAACTATTATTCTTCTTTATTTACCAATTGTTTGATCACATTCTTGAAAAAAAAAAACACAGATCCTCTAGAAGGCCTATTAATCATTTTTGGAACAAAATACTGTTTACCCCATTTTATTACAAAAGAGCAACTCAACAGTTTATTGGTCTCATAAAAGTAATTTATAAAATGTGTGAATTTGTGTAATTGTTGTACTGCCCTATTGGTTATATTTCTACTGTATGACTAGCATTTAACCACATATGAAGAAGCTCAAGGTAATTCAAAGTTGTTGTAACTTACAGTGAGTGATCAATATTAGACAAGCGAGAGTCTTTTTTAAGAGCATAGAACAATTGTAGTCAAACAATTTTAGCTCTCAGCAGTTAGTATAGCCCGACGAATGAAAAAAATACACCAAATTTACAAAGGTACGGAAATTCAGCAGGTTGTTGATAAGTCACTGTGTCTGTTTTTCATAAATGAATTAGGAAATAATATGTTGGAAAATGAAAGATATGTTAGTATTCTGGAATGTTCCATGTGAAGTGGTATGACTTGCTATTTTAAATAAATAAATTACTTGCAAAATAGTGAAGTAGACCCCATAGAGAACTGTTTAGCGTGCTAAAAATTATGTTTAACATTTAGATACATGGAAAGATAACATGCTGTTCTTAAAGTGTGAATAACAGTTTGTTGGAAAACAACTAACCTTTACATTTTACAAGGCTAAGAAGCAGGTATAAAACAACAGGCACTAAATATCAGTGTTTATGTCTTGTAGATGCCATCATGTAGAGTGTGTATGGCACTGATACAAAACAAGCCTGGCAGAGGCTTTTTTATGAAAATGCAAACTATTCAAAATAAAAGGTGCCAAGTCTTTACATTTTGTATTGGTGAGATTAGACTACTGTTCTACTGAATATTAACAATCAATGTTGGACTGCTTAAATACAATGATTTACCCTGTGTAGGCGTCTCTATTGGAGTCAAGTGATATCCCTTTGCTACACGAATCACAGACACCAAAGATAGCTGCTATTATGGATTTCTTTACTGATGTTGGCTCTTCTGACCTAAATAGCATATATATATATATTTCCAGACACCAATCCATGGCAGCATACATCGGGTATGGCTCCGCCCCCAGCCCAATCACAGGACCAGTTATACTATAAATTAAAGCCCGCCTCCCAAGGCCACCATTCTTTTTTTTGTCCTCACTGCTCAAGCCGGTTATACTAAGGATATGTTGGAGTTTTGTTTTTTTTGCCCTCACCTTGCCGGTTTCTTCTGGCCTGCCGCATAGGTTCAGCCTCTCCTGTTGCGAAGTTCCCTTTGTTCAGATGGTACCAAGATTACTCCCTCCCTAGAAGAACAAACATTCTTTTGAGGGTTCCTCTGGTTGGTTGTGTGCCCAAATGAAACACTGAGATCTTGAGGAATGCTGAATTAAGCTGACTTGCTTAGGCCATTACATGAATGGATATAACATTGTGAAGAAAAGGGACTTCGTGTGTGTGTGTATCACATCCACACAGGGACCAGCATTCCACTACAGCGCCATCTACAGCTCAAAAGACATTTCAGTACATTAGTATATGCTTTTGCATTTCCAACACTTCTGACCAACTTGCCAAGTAGGTCTCGGGTTGTGGGAGCTTACAAAAGTTTGAGCATTTACTGTTCAGAGTATATGCTCATGGGTCCTGTTAAGAGTTCAAGACGGACATGGTCAGGTTTTTCTTCTCTCACTACCATCAGGTTCCATGGTGCAATTCCAGCTTAATAGGTTTTGTCTCTCTTTCACCTTGCCATGATGGATATATTGATTGGATATATGGTGACTGGAAAACTAGAATGCAGCCCTCAAATCAGAAACTGGCTATTTCCATTGCAGTTGTCTCCTTCAAGATGTTTACTTTTCTGTAAGCTGAAGGCCTCTTTCATTTGGCACTGCTAGAAATGGAAGACAGCAATCCAGGTAAACCATCTGTCAGACTTCTGTTAAGGTGAAGTGTTAGGTTCAAACAAAACTAAAAACCTGGCAAATATACATCTTCCATAGGGCCTGCAAAATTGCAGCAAGCAAACGTTAACGCTTAATTGACCCCTCAGTTTAAATCAGCTAAATACATTCCAGGTGCATTAAAACAAAAGGTTTTCAATGTGTTTACAGTTTATTCAGAAAAGCTCATGCTCCCTGCTGGTTGGATAGCTCCAGCTCTGACTCAGGAGGGGGCATGTCGGACCGCTGTAAAAAGATCAATACTTCAACACAGAGAGTAAGGGCCCCCTTCTGCAGCATGCTGGCAGAGGACAGACGGCAGGGGACAGACTATTCTACTTAGGCTGTGGCTACTTTAGAAAGAAAATGAAGATATTGAGTATTTTTTGGTTTTGTGGCACCTGGAATGTATTTAGCTGTTTTAACGGAAGATTCTATTGGGCTTTAAGATTCTTCCCAACTGTATCTGGCGGTCTTTATATGCATATGTTTGTGATTGGAAATATACAGTACATTCAGAAAGTACACAATTTGAGGTATTATTTTAAAATTTACTTGAAAATAGTTTTCATTTATATTTGACTATGCTTGCTGCATATGAGCTTAATGATGATAAATAAAATATTGATTTATAGATTATTTCTTGATTGACTTTGTGCATTTCAGGCAGTAGAGTCAGCATCCCGGTAATATAAATGCTGCAGTACAATCAATCATGTTGTAAGTTGTTTTAAAGATGTCTTCTTTCCAGTCATCCTGAGCTGACCCATAGAGTTACAGTGAGGTAAGAGGAATAGTAGAACACTGTCGCTATAATGCTCTATTTACCAGGAAGTGCGGTATCTTAATACAATGTGGAAATATGGCCACACCTGGAGTTATATGTAATATGTAGTTTGTAAAAAATGAACAGACATTACATTAATTATTTACACTAAACTGAGCACATTTACATAGTAACCTTAGCTATAAAAAGACTATAAATAATTTTTAAATATTTATATCCTTGAGGCCAGAGCGAACTGGTCGAATATGATCTGTTTACTGCCACTGGTACAATATGGTCTGTGGCCTTGGATCAATCGACGACAACCACCACTGTTATGAATACTGTCAATTTATTAGGAAAAGTTTTTACCACGTATGTTATCACTCAAAAGGCACTGCATTCATTGTTGTTCTTTGCTGAGCCCACTTCTACAATGCAACCAATAAGATGTGCTCTTCATTGTATGTCGTGTCTGTATGGTCAGTGGGGCTGGAAAGCCTAATACCCTACATTTAGAAGCTTCCAGGAGGCATACCATACTAAGTCTTGTAATATGGCCATTTCTGGTCAATGATCGAGAAAACAAAGTAGGCAATTGCTACACTGGATGGTTGCTGTATTCCTGGATCAATTCTGCTGGTAAAAGCAAGTCCAGTACCTGTTGCAAATATTCACAGATACTGAAGGTATAATTGTGCTAGAAACAAGGTATACAGATTTAAAAATAAATGCATTTGTATTTCATTCAGAGGCATGGTGAGATAACATTTGGTGCAGATTTGTGCCCTAATTATGTTGCCAGCACCCGCACATGAGAGCAGACAGGATTAAGACGCATCAAAGGAACAGACAAACATTTGTAGCATCAATCCCTGTTCATCCTCAGATAGGTTTAATCAAATTATACTTCTTGATAAAAAATAATTCTACATATGTTCTCTATTAGACATCTAAAATTGGTGTGCTTTTATGGATCAATGTATATTACATATGTACAACACTGAGCTAACAGTTACATTTTGCTTAAGATAAAAGACACTATGCAGAAAAGAATTACTAAATAGCATAACATTCGCAAAAATATGGCTATGTAAGCATCGACTGTCAGTTAACTTATATCATTCTGACGCGACGTTGCATCACACAGAAAATGCCTGTGAATTTGTGCAGCAATGACACCTAAGTGGATTTTGTATTGTAAACCTGACATTACAAAGGTCAAAGATCACGCTAAAACAATTTGCAGGTATGACAACTGTTCCCTGGTTGAGAGTATACAATCCAGATTTCCAAGCAGCGTAAAACTGGGTCAGACAAAAGCTCAACTAATATTTCAAGATTCCAGCAATGCAGCAGATATAATTCACTGAATCACTGTGTGGATTAAACATCAGGTTCCTTTAATTGCCTTAACTCCGGCTTTTCCGTTCTGCTGGGCTTTAATACTTAAGCTGCTGTCGAGAACACCATGGTTTATTATGTATATTGTCTTGGTTTAGGTTGTACCAAAAACCGTTGCACCATATACTGATATTCTGTTATAGTCAATACAGATTCTGCCTTACAATTCATATTTCACATAAATAAATAAATAAATAAATAAATAACACAGTGTGTTTTATCAACATGCTTCTGATCAAGTAATACCTATAATATATCTATTTCAGGCCCCTCTGTGTTCATCATTACACCAGAGAACAATAGATGGCGAATGGTGTGGACTTACCTAGGCTGACTCTTAAGGTCTACATGATCAAAGGTCTGCTTGTGTACGTCGCATCCACTTCTTCTATACATCCTCTTGTCAGCCTCAGAAGCAGCCCAGTACGTCCAGTAAGTCCCACATTTCGTCTATCTTCTCCCAAAGTTCCCCATGGTAGTTGTCAAAAAAAAATAATATGTAATAAAAACCATAGGTAATGATGTCTTCTCCTTATAGCATCTTCAGAACGATCCAAGGAACCAATATCCCCTTCTCCATTTAGAGATTATATACAGCAGCAAGATCATGGTTGCTTTAATTCAATAGACCTCTAGAGATGAAAGCATCTTTCACTAGAAAAACAGAGGACAGTTTACCATAACCCTACAATAACTGACTGTTGCATTGCACACTGCCATAAGTGATAATTTCCCAGAGTAATCAGAAGATGCCTCTGCCTCCTGTGAAGGGTTACCTTTAGATGATGGCAGAGGATGCTGTTGTATGATGCTTGTATGTGTGTGTGTGTTTCAAGGAGCAGAAGCAGCAGTCAGTGAAATGCACGCACCTCCCTCCATCCTCTCCCTCCCACCCCATCTCTCCCTCTGTCAGCCTCTGTCTAACACCTTGCACACATATACATGCACCAAATGCAGATGCATGCTCAGAATCCTTTGCCAGTTTGTACCCTGATGTTTAAAATAGTTATTGTGAGCCAGGGTGCTGAATTTTCACCTTTTTGACCCTAATCTTTGTAGCTTTTGTTTAAAAGTAATCACAGGAAACTAACATAATCATTATTTGTATTGTATTTCAGCCCAAGATAATGCTTTCTAACGTTATAATAACAAAACAGATAGTGTCTGACTGTACTGGGTTTGCATGTAGTATATTGTTGGATCTGATTAAATCAGACAAAAAAGAAGTTAATGTTACCAAAGCATTAAGCTTCAGATTTTCCTAGCATGCTCTGGGACTGTCCTGTTGGTTATGGTTACTGTATAAATAGCAGCTGATTATGCATTTAAGGGAATTAAATATTGTGTGGTATCAGAACTTTTTGACACCCAGCATAAAATAAAAAGTGGATCTGTGTTTTCATTCATTTTAATTCATTTCATTTTAATCAAAATGAGCCCCTGGCATCAAATGGTTCTTTGCTTCTCTTATATTTTAAAGAGTTGATTAAAGTAGGGAATACATGGTTAGAATTTCGAACGAACAAAATCATTTTAAGAACCTTCGTTCGACTTCAGACTTCAACTGCAGAGATGAAAAAATTTGAAGGAGCATGTTGGAATATTTTTCTTGCTCCAACGAATTTCTAACAGTGGATGTAGTTTTTGGTCGGGAAACTCCATTCATTCCAAAATCAAATGCAAAGGAGAATCAAACAACATTTCGATCAACAATCGCCAAGTCCCTAATGGCATTATCGAATGTTCTGACAGGATTTTTTGATGAACTCATGAACTTTTGTTTGAAAATCTATGCATGTAAACCCTATTTTACTAAAGGCAAATACTTCACTTTGCAAGGGAATATGCACTTTGCAGGAAACTTTTCCCCATAGCTTATTGAATAAGGTGAAGCTCTGCTGACTTTCATTGTCCAATCATGTGTTGGCAAAAAATGTTTTATTTTTCCCTAAAAATTGATTGGATATTCTTTGCAAAGTGAAATGTCATTATATTCACCAAGCTAAGGGAAATTTCCCCTGCAAAGTTCAAATTCCCTTGCAAAGTGAACAGTCTATTTGCCTTTAGTAGATCAACTACTAAATATCTACAAGTTACACCTCCTGAAAAACACCATCTTGCTTATTGCAAGGGATGACAATACACAGGTCTGCTGCATAATATAGTGCAATGCCATTGTGATCCTGTTTCCAAAGAAAGCATTGAGATTTTCTGTTGTAAAGTAAACAGCTTTCTCAATTTACATTGTATACAATAGTTACTGAGTAAAAGATAAAAGCTTTAAAGTGACTGGGATGACACTTCTGTGTTACATCCAAACTGAATATAATTAGAGTTCAGAAGAAAGATTTCTGAAAGCTGCATGAAAACAGACTGAAAGAAGTTAAAGGATTGCTTTTTTTATGTGACATAGAAATTGTAATTACTAGCCTATCCTTCTGAAAATGTAAGTTGCCTGACCGACATGCTCATCCTCTGGTATTAATCCTTTGAGTCAATGACCTGGATCAAATATCTAGATAAGGGTTTTTGCCTTTTCTCTGACCCTTATCTGCATACTTGTTCCCAGTCAAGGATAACAGCATTTTTTTTCAGTAGGTGATTGACAATGATGGCCCCAGTATTTTTCTCACCATATTTACTTTCAAGTGTATATTTGCTGCAATATATACCCTGCATAAATGTATTCTGCAAGTACACATTTGGTGTTGTTGTTGTTGTTGTAAGGTTTAGGCAAAAAGAATGTGTGGAATAAATCCAGAACCACAGCAGGTATAAAGTGCAAATAGATTAGCAAACCTTCCTATCTTGGCCAAATAGTAGGGACTTCTGGCATGCCAAGCTTCTGCATTTGCTGACACTTAACCACTGGCTCCTACCTGTTTCAAATTTCTATTGGCTATGGTTTATTCTACCATCATACTGGTGGGCCAATAGGAATGGAATATGTGGGAGGGATTAGTGGCAAGCTCCGAAACTACCCATATACAGTATGTTGGAGCATTGCCTGTCAAAAGAACTGGAATTAAGTGAGGACTGGAAAGTTTGAGAGCCTGCTGTTAGTACCTCAAGGTGCCTGAACTTTACTCTGGCAGAAGTTTTGTTGTTTTTTCTCCATGGCGGAATCCCTTTAGTTAATGTTATATGTGGTTTCACCCATTTACTTGCAGCTGTGCCATATTTTCATAATAACATTTTCTAGTCTACTGCTTAGCTGTATATCTGCCAGTGCAATCAGCTTCCCCACTGAATGTCTGACTAAAGAAAAGACAACTATAAGCCAACCTGCAGAGTCTGTTCTGTATTTAGCCAAATATAGACCCAAAAACATACTGAGATAAGAGAAGAAAAAAGCACAATCATTGCAAAATTCTACTAAACAGGTACACAGTAATATATAAAGCATGCATATATGGCTTCCCAGGTATATATTGAATCAAAACTATATACAGAAAAATGTTTAAAAGGAAAGACTGACATGGCAACGTTGTTTTCTGAATTAAAGGTAGTAGGTGGTAGCCTCCATATTTGTTGTACAGGTAATACATTACACATGCCCACATCAACATAATACTCACCCAAAGTAGTGATACATTTGCTTTGAACTCCTATTTTTAGCCTTCATCATGAGAATTTTTGGGTCATAATTTAAAAAAAAAAAACGAAAACAAAATGACCATGTACACATTACTTGATATTATTTACATGTAGTGTCATTTATTCTAAGTTAAGTTTTCCTTTAAGTAGCGGTTTTTGGAACAGAATTTCTTACTTAGATTAACAATTATCAGGTTGTTGAAGGCTCTAGAGATAGGTCCCACACATAAGGCCCACCAGACACCCTGAAACCAATTCCATCTCAGGCATCTTGCGAATAAGAGCTGACAAATGCTTTTATCACCTGCTGAAAGTATACAAAAAATAGAGGTCAGTCTGAGCCCCCTGATTTCCCAGGAGGAGATCCAGGACCAGTCTGAGGACCAAGCTTATATATGTATTTTCCTTTAAATGTGCAATTTCTTTTAAGCCCCTTGGGAATCCTGTTACGTCTTTTGTTTACATTAAAGACTGCAGATCTTTCAGTGCACATCTGTTTTGTTAAATTAATGCTAGACAGTACAGTGCAATTAACCTCTCCAGGGTACAAATAGAGTCATTTATTTTCTGATACAATTACAGCAGTAAATTGGTTTGGCAAAACAAGTACACCTATTTATGTTAAAATGCTAATTAATATAAAAAAACACAAAAACCATGTTCAAATAGATATTCATTTTTTTTTAAAACCGATATTATCTTATGATTTGAGATTAACTTCAGGCAAACTAGTATTTTAGTTTTGAGGTTTTACTGACAAGTGTAGTCACATGTTGATACTCATTGAGACTCCACTGGCAATGCATCGACACAAGAATTCCCAGATCCCCTCAACTACTGCAACCAGTATATATCAAAAAATGTACCCCAGCACTGCAATTAAAATAACTCAAACTCAAACATGTTTTTAAAGTAGATATAAACCCAACCACTACAATCTCATAAAGGCTTTAACATGTTATATCACTTGAAAAGCCTATTTTTATTTGGCCACTTTGTGTTGTGAGTTGACCACACTTTGCCCCTATGTCCCAAAGTGAAAGAGGAAGTGTAGGGGAGTGGAGGGAGGAGGAGGTGGAGAAGGGGAAGGAGATAGAAAAGAAGGAAGAGGTCGCATTAGCATTGCTTGGCTTGACACCTACTACCTCCATCTGGCAACACTGCAACCTTTTCTTTTAGGCATGCCTCTCATTTTATTTTCTTGGATGATTTGGGGAAGGGTAGCCTATGACCATAAGATTCTACATCTTCTGCCTGCCCTCCCCCCTGGCTGCAGAATTACCTCTTTTCATTTGCTACTGGCTGACCTTCCCCCTGTGTTGTGGAAGCCTATAATCCTATCTTTCCCCCTGCAGCTATGCATCCACAATCCTGACTACAATAAAATAAATATATCTAAAAATATATATATATGGTTGCTGAGTGCCTGGAACGAGAAAGATGATGCTGGTAAAGCGGAGGCATTTCCTGGCTTCTGCTGTGTGCAGCCCAGACAATGCATCAATTTAACAAAAACAACAGATTAGGGAGAGGAATCTGCTCTGGGGCAACCCAGGCTGGAAATTTCTCCTAAATTAGATATGGGAGGGGTTGCAGCACAAAGTGCTTGGAAAAGGTAGAACTCAGACCGCCAGACTTAGGGGTGGTTATTAGGGATGCACAGATACTTTTCGAGTACCAGTGCAGATACCTGGCATTTTCATGAGAACTACCAGGGTTGCAGAGGTTGCAGCTGGGACCTGGCTCTGGCGTTCCACCACTGTCCTGAAATCATTAGTCTGTATTGTTTTAGAAAAAC